ACCAGGGCCACCTCCATGAGTTCATCCTGAGGAGTCATTTCAGTCCTGGCTTCCTTCCCTCCAGTCGAGCTCTCTTCCATAGCCCTATTGAGGTTGTCTTCCGTGCTCTTTCTCTTGTGACCCGCCCTCAAAACCGCTTGGTAACAGGTCCTTGCTAATCGCTGATCTCCCGTCACTTCACCAACCAGCTCACCCACCGGGAACTTCATCTTCATGCAATACGTAGAAACCGCAGGTTGAAAAGCGTTCAAGCTAGGTCGCCCCAGAATGACATTGTAGGCCGACTCCGCTTTAACAACCACGAAACGAACCGCCCTCACTTTCCTCAAAGGAGGGGTCCCCAAGGCCATGGTAAGTTGCACCTCCCCCAATGGTACCACCTCTGCGCCACTGAACCCAAAAAGGGAGGTCCTGACTGGCGTAATCTCCATCCCCAAGTCCATCTTTCTAAAACATTCGTAGAAAAGAATATCCACCGAACTCCCCGTGTCCACCAGTATCCTCTCAACATCGTAATGTGCAATTTCTGCTGTTACCACAAACGCATCATTATGGGGTACCAAAATACCTTGGGCATCCCTTGCTCCGAAAGTCAGTTCTGGTATGGTGTGCGCGGTCTGAACTTCTACCACACTCTCCCAATCGGCTCTTAAGTTAGCCCACCTAGCTCCGTTAGAATCACCATCTGTTGGCCCCCCGGATATCATATGGATCACCCCTCTTTTTGGGGCCCTTTCCCCTTGTTCGTCCTGCCTCCTCTTCCGATCAATCCCCTCCGTATCAGCCCTTTTCTCCCTATCCTGGACCACAAACTCCTTCAAGTGCCCGGCTCTTATGAACCTCTCAATCTCATCCTTGAGCTCTTTACAATTATTGGTCCAATGGCCATAGTCCCGGTGATATCTACAATAAGGGTCGCCTTTCGCTGGCGCTCTCCCGAACTTCTTTGGTAAGGGATGGGGCTTCCCTAACATTTTTGTCTCTCCCCGCTTTTCCAGCATCTCAAAGACCTGCCCCCTTGGTGACGTTAATGGAGTGTAATGCTCATATCTGAACCCCATGCGCCCCCTATCGTCGCTCCTATGCTCTTTTCCTACCAACTTTTTGTCTTCCGATCTGGATTTCTCCTCGGGCTTCTTTCCCCGAGCCCGATCGTGTGCCTGGAAATCCGCTTCCGTCTCCTCCAT